ACGCGTGCCATCTTCCTCCCATGTTTGCATTCTACTTTGGGACCAATCCAAAGAGCATATGTAGAGAAGATGAGTGCCTCTCCTGAATTGTACGAAAGATGCCAGCTCGAACCAACCAAAACCTCAGCATATGCTCTAATGGGATTCTGAAACAGTTACACTCTCAACTTCCTACTTTAATTTGTTATTTTTTGGTACATTCGTTATTTTTTGGTACATTCGTTATTTTTTGGTACATTCGTTATTTTTTGGTACATTCTTCTTTTTAACATTCTTTAGAATTATTGTACGTACTTAATACCCTTTGCTTTTGATTTTTGAATAATTGTAGTTTGTAGGGTTCCCCAACTTGTTTTATGGCCTTAGGTATATAATTTAGCCAAAATTTCTTGAGAAAATGGAATGAACTCGTGCATTTTTAGTTTGATTAAGGGAGAAGGGATTAATCTAATTAATTAACCTATTAATTTGTTGGTAATTATAATTTATGTTATCTCATCACATTTGATAAGAATAAACTCAATTAATTATGCAATTAATCATATCTTGTTTGTGTTTGGAGCTTTGAAGGTGGTTTTTACACATTTGATATGATTGGATTCTTTGGAACCTACGAGGCTAGCTGTTTATTCGGACATGCATTGTCCAAGCAAAACAGAAGATAACAAAAACAAATTAGTTCATGAATCCTTTAATGTTTTTGTTAATAAGGGGGGATTTGCCTGGCAAATGGTCCTCACATGATTAGGCTTTTCACTTTCTTTTACTTTCTACACCTTTCTTTTTCTTTACTTTTAGGTGTTTTTTTGGCCTTTCACCACTTTAATACTAGACCACAACGTGCCTCGTCTTGAAAATTTTAACTTTATTCTACAGTTTTAAATTGATAATAATCGTATAAAGCTCTACCTTTCATAAACTTGGGCTGAAAATTCCACATTTGAAGTAATCTACTTTAATAATTGTGAGTGTTTCATTATTGAACCCTTTCTCTCTCTATCTCTTTTTTTTCCTAGAAAATGATTTAGCAACAATTTTTGTGTACAAGTCTCTCATATAACTTTAAATATCATTTAATAATTAGTTTTTTTTTTACTTTATTAAAACTTGTGATTGTATACATTCATTTATTTAATAATATGTGAAAGTTAAAAATAAAAATAAAAATTTTATTATCCATGTCTTTAGAATATAAATTAAAATTGCATTTATTATACATTTTCACCATTAATTTATATAAAAAAAAGTAAAAATTGATTTTAATTTTATCAACTATCTAATTAAAATGTTTCACATAATATTAGTGTTAAAAATAAAGTTTACTTCCGTAATTTTTCATGTAAATTAATAGTG